TTTAGAACATTTTATCTCTCTAATTACAGACGCACTTTGATACTGATGATTTTACATAAAATAGTTTAACTCATTTTAAGCCAAGTATATAAATTTTATAAAATGAATTATTTTCATTCAAATATGCTTAAATTACATTCATTAAGAAACAAAATTTCGTGTATAAAAATTATATTTTATTCAAGAAATAAAATGGTGCGTATGAGCACCATTCACCAAATCAATGAACAAATCATTTCGGTGAACGCTTGTTTCCTTTTATGAAATTTACTTTATATTTTTTTTATTAACTGACTTTCAACTTTAATCCATCATAAAACATAATGACAAATCTTAAAAGGAATAATTATAAATTTTCAAAAAATTTTATTCGTCAATAACGATTTTAAGTTTAAAAAAACTTAATAGTTAAAAAATTTCTCAACAGAAAGTGTGTACTCCAACTGAATTATTATTAAATTTTGGGTGTCTTAAGAGCCCTTGACAATGGCAGAAAAATAAAATTAGTGAAAAATATATGTCACAGTGTTAATAAAAAATATTTATTGAAATGGTGCGTTTGCGCCCATTTGGACAAAAATGGGTTAATATATAACTCCAGTTTACAATACTTTGATGGTAAGTATTTGTTCTCCAAAACTAATTTAAAACCAAAATTTCAACAAAAAAATACAATTAAAAGTTAGGACATCTTTGTCATGATGTGGCCAATGGTTTCACTACATTTGGCTATAAAATTTAGTGTCCTGTTTCATCGACATTAAGTTCACTGTAAATGTTTCATGCCCTACTGCTGTACACAATTAAGAGAACTTGCTATAATTTTTCCTCAAAATATATTTAAAAAATGTAAAATAACTTACTTTAAGAAAACAAAAATATCGTAAATTACAAATGCAGTTGCAATAATGTTCTTTGTATGATTGTAAATTAAAATTGTATGGTTTGGGGCATTTGTAAGAATGGTTTTAGATATTTTCAATGTTTGAATTTTGTCAAAAAACAGTTGAAGTACACACTATGGGCTTAGGAAGAGTTTTAGCAAAACAAACATTGTAAAGAATTTTACTAATAGCAATTTTTTAAATCAAATTTGATGACATGACAAAATTCATTGAAATTATTGAATAATGTGGGGCTATGAGTAGACACCTACGATAAAATAACTATTGTGTATATAAAAATCAGATGAAAAGTATGATTGGTTCATGCATTCTCATTGGTCAAATAAATCATGTGGTATGAGATCCAGTTTTCAATTGCATGAAGAGTTATTTGATTGTCAACAGCATAAGACTAATAAAAGTTGGTAAAAAAAATTAATAAAGGAATTATTTACCTACAAAATATATGTCTTCTCCTTAATTTAAAGATAGTTATAATGTAATATTTATTACTCATCCTTTCTTAATTTTTTTATTTTTTGGTTTTTGATTATTATTTCAAATTAGAGGTTGAAAACTGAAAAAGCTTCCTGAACCCATAGAAATTAACAAAATTTGCAAAACAAAATAGTTACGAACAAATATTTAAAAAAAAACTGAACTACATCAGTAATCATAACTGTTACTTTAGATAAAGATACATAACTGTTTCTCTAGAGCATGGCTGAAAAATATTTTTAAGATATTTTTTTCTTTCATATTTTTATTAATATTTGAGGCAAATCAAGAGTCAAGTTAATAAGGTCTCTTGGGCCACTTTTGCCAGCCAGCCATAAGTTGTGAATCCTCCTGTTTTAAAATATCCAACAAAATGTTACATTATAACTCAATATGCATTTTTAACTCGTGTAACTTTCTAATTAATGCTTTCTTTTACTTTGAAAACTAAAAAAATAGTTTTGTCCCTTTCTCTTTTTAAATATTTCCCCATTAAGACTGGTATTTAAATATCGCTTATGAACTGAGAGGGAAAAATACATTTAAAGCACATACCAATTATAAAATCTATATCGGGGTATCTGGAACAAATTTGTGGAATCACTTCTGCAAGTAGATCTATTCCTTTTCTATAAACAAGTCTACTGATGACAACGATTGTAACTAAAATAAATAATTATTTATTTTAGATTACTTGTGCAATGAAATTATTAATATGAAACTTTATAATAACATAAATATTAAACAATTTTGCATTATTAATAAATATCTATCTATACAGATTTTTAGTGTGTGTAGCCTGATTTTTCAACAAAAAATAAGCACCTTTTAAGTACTCCAAAAATATTTTTAATCACTTTCCAAAAAAAATCATAATTAGGATCTGTGCAGTAATAAAAATAATTTTTTTCTCTATCGTTTAAAGTTCTTAATTTATAAACATAAAATCAATAAAATTCAAAAACATTTTCAAAAACTTTAAATAATCATGATAAAATAACTAGTTTCTGATAAATATTGCAGAGAAAATAGTGAAAATCATGAATTTTTTTGTAATTTTGAACGACAATCAATACGGCAATGAAAAATCTCGTTTTAAAAGATAGAAAATTAAGCTCTTTTTTCAAACCCTGATTAAAAAAAGCACCTTTAAGGGATTTTAAAAAATGTAAATCAAAAATCAGCACCTTTAATTTCTTTTTAAAAACTCTATGCATCCGGTTAAATATGTGTTGTGTCTAAACCAGTTATTTAAGCTTGATTATTATGAAACTGGTGGTATACATAGATTCCCAAAACTACAATTATTTTTTTTAATACATCGAACTGATGAATG